GGCGAGGTCTCCCGAAACATGCAGTGAGCATGAGTTAGGATTAGGTCATCAGCACTGATCTGCTTCTTCAAAGATGAATTTTTTTATCTGTATAAATGTTTGAAGTTGGCTACGGTTTTGAATCGACCGCCTCTGAATCCCTCACATTTTAGGATCTTAATTTGACCCTTTTTAGGGTCCATCAAAGGGCTGAGTTTGGATGGTGGCATGTTCCACCCCAACGTAGCCATGAGGGCAAAGAGAAAAACAAAGAAAGTGAAGGAAACATCACAGGATGGCTGCCTTTTTAGAAAAAATTAAAGTTCATTTTATTTTTCATTTCTATGATTTTTACAACTGAGGCTTCCTCCCATTGTGACTTGACATCTGCTCTTCCCCCCCTCCTTGCTCTCGGTTCTGGTGCTTTCCATTCCCTCGTCACCTGGGGGGCCCTGGGCTGCTCTGACCATGTCCCGCAGGGGGGACGCTCACCTGGCAGAGGCCGTCTGCACGGAGGGGAGACGCCCTGATAGAACCTGGACGCCTTGCAGACTCAAATCCAAACTGCTAGTCAGTGTCACAACCCCAAAAATCACGTTCTGAGTAGGCAAGATCTGTAATAATTTATCGAAAGCCCTGTTGCACCACAGCAGACGCAAGGAACGTGCGTGGCTGATGCAGACAACCTGACTGCAGGCTTTCAAAGGCAAGTGTCTTCCCAGCATCTGGACACAGCAGCGGATGCCCGCCCGGTTTCTGAGCGAGCTCGGGAACCGGCGGGACTCTCTGTGGCAACCACCAGCCTGTTCACCTCCAACCCGGCTCCTCCCAGCCTGCCCCTCCTGTCGCGAGGACAGCCTCTCCCACACCGCAGGAGTGCACAGCCCAGCCCAGACCCTGTGGGCATCGGAGGCGCGAGGGTCAGGTCCTGCCTCCGCTCTTCCCTGTGCGCTGCCCTCCTCGTGGCCCGACCGCCCGGTCACGGCACGTGCCACCCTTCCTCCATTCAGTTTCGGCTACGCACGTTCTGCCCCCCCTGCTAGGGCGGGCCTGTCCCAGCCGCCCAACTCCAGAGCACACTCTGGGTGGCCGGACCCGGACACAGCAGTCCCTCAGGCAGACGCCATGCCAGGAGTGCAGCCCACAGAGCGACCGTTGGCACACGCGGGGCTCCCCACCCTCCTCCACGTCATCCCGAGGCTCCTGGGCACCTCTGCCCATTCCCCCCTTCCTTCTGGTTCCCAAGGCTGTTCCTGGGATCAGGCATCGCTGCCTCCACCGCAAACTCAGCGCACAAAGGATGCCAGTGTCCTCTTCCCCCACTTATGGGCGAGGCCTTAGTGCAGCAGGGTCTGCAGACCTACTCGCTACTTTCAGCTCGTGTCTGTCACGACAGAGTTTACACATCTGCACTGGTATGAATGCGGCTAACCTCTGATCGCCCACGAGGAGCGTTTACAAGACCCGCATGGCTCCGCTGGACAACAGGGCTGCCCAAGTGACCGAAGCGTGTCCCACAACTGTGCAGGGGGAAAAACCCTTCCCCGGTGCAAGACAGACCAAGGGAGGGGAACCCAAGAGCGGGGAGATGCCCGTGTTCGACGAGCCTTCCGATCCAGCACTGCACCTGAGCTGTGAGGCGCAGACAGAGCATCCGCACATCTCTGGGAGTAGCTCCGTCCTTTCCGTCTGAAGGCTTGTGAGCAGGGGTCTTCCTCTGTACTCCAGCCACGACAGATGAACGCAGAGGCACGCCTGAGGGTCTGGCCGTCTTTAATAAAACCAGACATTAAACAGATCTGCAAAAGTAATACAAGGCTACTCTTCTAGTTTTTCTGCAGGGGGAAATAAGGGCTTTTTGAATAAAAAGTGTTAATCCGTAGTTGGTATACTGTTATTTTTAAATAAATACATATTTAAAACTTCTCTCACTTAAAATTTTCAATACAGTAAAAAGGAATCCTCAATAATTTTTAAGTGGGAAGGGATCTAAGACCAGAAAGAGTGCGAACTGCTCCTGAAAGAGTAATGTGGCTTCTGGGTAAAAAGCCATGGTTTCCACGACTAATTCCTGTCCTTACGCATTTGGCAGAGTCCACGTGGCTGGAGAGGTTTGTGGCACAGTGATCGCTGCCCCTCTGTGAAGGGCACCATTCATGACCCAAACGGGTCAAGAAAGTCACTATTGAGACATCTACGCACTCAGGCTTGGGAATATGTGTCCCACAGCCTGCTCACCATAATGTGCCACCAACACTCTCGTGGGGGCTGCCGGCCGAACCTCCAGAGCCGAGGTAAACCGTCTCAAGTCAGCTTTCAGACTCAGGAAGGTCAAACTGCGAGAAGGAAATGTGCAAAAAAAAAAAAGCGAGGGAAGAAGGTTTGTGAGGACAACATGAGTCTGACTCTTCGGGAAACGTTTTCAGAACAAAATAAAACTTAACCCTAACCGGCACCGCTCCTTCCAGATGCCCCTCAGCCGCCGCAACTCTGTTTCCTTGGAACAGCTTCCCCCTTCCTCACCGACTCAGTTGTCCCCAAGAGCACAGTGGCTTGTCACTTGCTCCGCTGTCTGGGACTCGAGGGTGGAATCAGCTCAAGAAGGTTCCAAGCTTATTTCTGTGGCTCAGACTCTCCTAATGTCCCCTCACACGTGACAGGCTTTCATCTTGATTTAGATTGTTCGTAAAGGGCTTGAAGCATTCGGTTCAATAAACAGATTGGTGGCTTAATTTAATAGAACTATTTGCTTTTCCTGTACTTTAAAGCTACAGGGACCAAGACAAGAAAGCGTGTGACTCAGACCATTTTATAGGAGTTTATAGATCGGAGGCTGAGACGCCGAGAGGCTGAATGAGCATCAGCAGCAGAGCTCAGGCAGTTCTGCTCCTGGTACTCAATTTGTCTCATGCAAAATGGGATGAAAGGACAAAGTGCACCAACAGCCAGGGAGAAAACCTACAGTCACCCAAATCTTCCCAGCGACGTTCCTTCCCTGGATTACTCTGTTCGGTTTCATTGAAAACTATTAAGATTCAATGGCCCCCAATGGGGACACCCCATTTGGGATGAAGGGCACATGGATGTCTGTGCCTTAGTGTGAAGCAGTGCCCAACGTGCCCTTGGAGGTCCTGCGGGCCGGGTCATGCTTGCCCTCAGCTTTATCTCCTGGCTGAGGGGCCACTGGGGGGGGGGGGGGCATGCCAGCCCCGCCCAGGCCTGGTCGCGGGCACCACGAGGGATCGTCAGGACTCATCAGGTGTCCCACAGGGTCTCCAACCTAAGCCTACCCAGGCCTTTGAAAGGGGCTTCTGGGGAAATCACAAGCAAGTGAAGATCAATCTGTTTCGAATGGCTGTTTCTTGTCTTTTTTAGTTCAGATGGCAGCCAAATAGAGAAGGTTAGAGTTAACTTTTTAGTTTTTATCTAACAATTTAATAAAGCTGCCATAATGAGAGAAATCACATTCCTGCAGTGGTTTTCAGAACCACATGGAGCTTGCAAACCAGGGCTGTGTCAGCAGGTGGGGAGAGCGTTGTGCCCACAGGCTGCCCGGATCATCAATGGCTGCGAGTGGGGATGGCCGCTGCGGGGACAGGGACACAGGCCCAAGGCCTCAGGCATCACCAGAGACTGAAGGGGATTTGGATGAGTAGCCTTTCTAATAATTTAGGACCTTCTTGTGCACTTGGCTCAAGAGGAGGGAAAAGAGGGGCACCTGGGGGGCTCAGTCAGTTGAGCGTCCGACTCTTGGTTTCAGCTCAGGTCACGATCTCAGGGTCGTGAGGTCGAGCCCAATGAAGGGCTTCACACTCAGTGGGGAATCTGCTTGTTCCTCTCCCTGGCTCTTCTCTTGCACCCTCGTGCATGGGCTCTCTCTCTCTCTCTCTCGCTTGCTAAAATAAATAAAATCTTAAAAAAAAAAAAAGATGAGGTAAAAGAGAACAACTTACTGCTTGACCACATTTCAGGGTCAAGTCTGAAATGCTAGCCCCCCAGTCCTCGAGCTCTTCCTGAAGGCTCTACAGAAGCCAACAAGGAAAAGGCACACGTCAGCTTTTACTCCAGTAACAGGGAGGCTGATGGTGTGGACGCAGCTCGTGCCCCAGGGAGACCCACTCAGCATCAAACAGGAGGAGATGACAAACACCAGGGCTCCTGGCTTCCCGGAGGAGAAACAGGCCAGGCTCCCCTCTCCCCACATGGAACTGCAGCTTCCCGAGGACAGGGGTAAGGGTCGGCGGCGAACCCTCTCCTCCACCAGCCTGCAAGCCCAGCTCCCGCATGGCCATGGACAAACGAACACAATCGACACGCGGTCAGCTGGGCTCCAACAGCACACAAGAGCTCACCACACACACAACACAGGCTTTTTTTTCCTTTTGCGTTTTTTTTTTTTCTTTTTTGTGACAGTCAGGAAATGCTGGTGCTACTGACTTATTTTTCTTCCTAAGTTGTGGCAGATGCCCGAAAGAGCTTGAAATTTCAAACACAAAGTTCAAAGGATGGGGAAAAAAATGAACATGTCCAGCCCTTTGGGTGCTGAGCCTCATAAAATCCAAGAGCTCAGTACTTTATAAATACACACTTTACCCGAGATCTCACGGTGGTCACTGGCCATCATTGTTTCTTTTCAACTACATAATACACGAAGTCATTCTTGCTGCAAAAATTCATGGGTAAGGCAGATGTCCCTCTGGAAATCTAGTCCCTCTTCGGAGATGCCTGGCAGGCGGCCACTGGTGGGCCAGGGGGGCACATCGGACGCCACCATGGGCTCAGCCACACCAGATGCTCTGCAAGTTCAAGGAAGGGGTGCGCTCTCACCAAGGGTGACAGGGACGGGGAGGGCCTCTGCCCTCCGCCCTCCGCCCAGCATCTGTCCCTCCTGTGGACACTGGCGGGGCAGCTCCCGAGAAGAGGATTCTGACCGGCCCCCGTCTCGTACGGACCTCTCTTCCCGAGCATAGGGCTGGCCAGCGCACCGGGAGCTGTGGGGACTGGGGAAACAACACAACTTCTTTCATTATCTCATTTCATTTATTTATATGACATCTTGGGATGAAAGCTGTGTTAAGAAAGAGCTCTGAGCATAAGGACTCTAACGCACATTTGCACATATTTAAATAGCTTTGGGGTAACAGTAGCAGACGGACACGGGAATTACCACTTTTTTTCCCAGAGTGTACATAGACTTACAGTTGCTAACTCCTGAACTCAGCAAACCCCTGATGTGAAGATGCTGGTGCAGAGCCCACTGGAAACCTGGCTGGACATCACTGGGTTACTGAGGCTTTTCCGGCTGTAGAACTTTAACGACAGGTCCAAATGAAAAACAGGAGCAAAGAAGTGGGTCTTCATTTCTCGTTCCAATAGCAGAAAAACTCGTGGTACAGATCAGCATCACAACACAAAAGGAGAGTGGATAAGCCCAATCAGACCGTCTGTCCAGTGGCTGAGGTTCCTTTGTGTGCAGAGAACCAAGCATGTGACAAGGGCCGCGAGTCCCAGTCCTGCATGAGTCACTGGGCTCCAAGTGCTGCTTGTTCTCAGATCCTGCACGTGTCCTTTACACATGGGTGATCCCGAGATATTCCCTGGAACAAAATGGTAACCGCAAACCGTTCCCACTCACCCATGCAGCACTCCCGAGCCAGTGAACACCAAGAACCACTGTGAACTTTCACTCGGGCCTGCGCGTCCCAGGCCTGGGTGGACCGCTCAGAAAATAACTTGCTGTAACTCCCATTTTTAACTCAAGCATGAGGGACTCCAGGGCAGCCGCTCGAAGATGCGCAAACCCTGTGCCAGGCTCTGCCTCCTTGGGAGCTGCTGCAGCCCGGGCTGACGCAGGTGTTCCTGGCTTCTCCGTTCTCTCTGCGCAGGTCTACACATTTACAGGCAGCAATCAGGGATGATCCCTGCGCTTGGAGTGGAATCGCAGCAACGCATCTAGGCAGGGGAAGGTGCTTTCCCGTACGCCCTCAGCCTTGCCCGGCTGCCTGGTTTCCAGAAGCCGACCCTGCTCCGGTGCTGATGTAAATGGCACAGTGGAGCGGAGTTCACACACAACACATCCAGTTCACCTCATTCACACATCTGTATCGAGCGCCGTGACTGGGTAAAATACTGTGTTATCTTATCCTATGTCTTGGTTGGAGAGAAGCAAGAGGTTTAGAGGCTTAGAGCTTTAGGCTGTGTCCACGCTTTAAAACCATTCTTCCTCTGACCGTGAGGGTCTGTCCTGTTCCAGCAGGCGGGCATCAGTTGGACCACCTGCAAGACAAGTGACAGCATGAGCCTCCCTGCCAAGCGCATCCTGTAAGCCAGCCCACGGGGAGGAGGGCAGGCCTGGCCAGAGCGGCTGGGGTGTGCGTGCCCGCGCACAGCTTCCTCGTGGGTCTGGGAGAGGAGACAGTGTTTCACGTATGTGTATCCTGCCTGATTCTACAATGAGTTGAGGACACAGCCTTACTGAATGGAGAATGGTGGCCATCGCTGTTGACTTCCTAGTTGTTAGAACCAAAGCTCACAGTTGCAGCCAGAGGCAGCCATACCCATCCTGACGCCACTACCGAGCGCTTACTACGTGCTGACTCCCGTGGCCCTGAGGGCCAGCATCCTCCACATTCTGGGGGTCATTCCTGCCTCGATAGCTCTGGAAGTTGCCCACTGCCCTCCTTCTGAACGCCCCTCCCCAGGACGCAGGGCACTGTGTTACCGGCCGCTCCAGACCCCTCGAGTGGCTCTTGCATAGATCCCCCTTTCTCACAGGTGGTAGGTGCTGGTGCCCAGGGTCTGTGCCTGGGTCCCTACAACGTGCTGACAGACGCCGGCCCTGCCCGTTGCAGCTCCTGCTTGCACTCCTCTGATGACAAGCACCCACCACTGCCGATGCCATTCAGCACGTGCTCACTGCGGCTTTGCCTGGTGCGAGACACCGCGAGTGCGCGGATGCACCCTCTCACTGACTCGGGGGCAGTGACATCACCTCTCAGGTGCTCTGTCCCAGGCCACTCGGCAGAAGCTGAGCCACAGCCAGCATGGCACCTCAACCGTAATGTACCCAAAAGTTAAAGCTTCTCCACACTTGCTCTCCTCGCCTATTTCCCACCCAAGTTAATGGCACTGAAATCTGAACTTGTGCACTGCTTCCACACCCCAGTTTCAAGTGGTCGCTCAGGGCTCCCCCAGAATTTCTTAACCATGTCATTCCCTCGGTGTCTCCAGGAAGAGCAGGAAGACTCTTCCCTGATCGGGAGAGCAAGGGTCCCCAAGGATCCCATGGCTGAAAGTCCCACCCAGGGCAAAGGCTTCCAATGGCCTTTTCAATACCTGACTCCTTAACACAATCTGCTCTCAAGAATTACCAGCCATGTAGGGAAAAAAAAAATCTAAAACAAAAACAAGGACCAAAACAAACACATAGAGAAACTTGGAAGAAGAGTCTATGAAGGAAAGGAAAAAACAAAATAAAGCTACTGGTATAATTAATTTCCTGGGATGCAAAAGAAATGTTGCGATCATGAAACAACGAAGAGTATGCTATAAAAAAGAGATATCTTGACCTCTCAGAATTTAGAAACAGCAAAATTAAAGACTGGAAAGAACGGGAGACAAAGCTGATGAAATCTCCCACAAAAAGATACTAGGAGAGAAAATGTAGGACAATTACAGGGCTGGAATATGGTGTCTAACTTCTGCGACAAATAACAGCAGAGAGAACGGAAGGAAGTATATCACAGAAGAAATCACTGGAGGAAAATTCCAGATCTGAAAGATAGGAACCAGCTTCGTGTCGCCATCCTCCAGGTGGCCAGGTGCGGTGGAGATAGGAAGGCTGCTGGTGTGGGCTGGCTTGGGTGGCGCTCCCCACCGCCCTCTGAGTGGGGGCTCTCACTGAGGCCAGGTGCACAGAGGCTGGGCCATGGGGACAGCCGCTTCTGAGGCCATTCCCAGGACCCGCCTCACTGACTTCCTCAGGGATGCAGCCAGCCTGTCTGCAGAGGCTGTCCAGCAAGGAGCTATTTATTTGCCAATGGACACTGGGGTTGTTCTCATCTGCTGAGTGCTGTGGATAATGATGTTATGAACATTGGTGTACAAATATCTGAATCCCTGCTTTTAATTCTTTGGGGTATATACCCAGGAGTGGAATAGCTGTGTCTTCCTGGTAGGTGTGAAGTGGTACCTTGTAGTTTCGACTTGCATTTCCCCGATGACTAATGATGTGTAGCATCTTTTCATGTGCTTCCTGGCCATATGCATACCTTCTTTATAGAAAAACCTATTCAAGCCATGTTATCTTTTTGCTTTCAAGTTGTGGGGGTTATTATTAATAACCCTGTCTTTTCACTTTCTTGATATTATCCTTTAATGTACCAAAATTCTTAATTTTGACGAAGTCTAATTTATCTATTTTTTCTTCTATTTCCTATGCTTTTGGTGTCATATCCATGAGCACTTTGCCAAATCCAATGCCATAAAGATTTTCTCAATACTTTATTTAAAGAGTTTTATAGTTGCAGCCCTTGAGTCTAGGTCTTCAACCCATTTTCAGTCAATTTTGGTATATGGTGTTAAGTAAAGGTCCAATTTCATTCTTTTGCATGGGATATCCAGTCTCCCCCCCCCCACCTTAAATAGGAATAAATTTTACCAAGATGCTCTTATGAATGGGACTGCTTTCTTAATTTCCTTTTCTGACTGCTCATTGCTGGTGTATAGAACACAGATGATTTTTGTCTGTTGACCTTAAATTCTGAAGCTCTGCTGAATTTATTAGCTCTAGTAGCTTTCCTGTGGAGTGTTTGAGATTTTCTACATACAGGATCATGACATGTATGGCTAGAGAGAGCTTTACATTTTCCTTTTCAATTTGGATGCCTTTTACTTCTTATTCTTATCTAATCGCTCTAGCTAGAATGCCAGTACAATGTTGAATAGTAGTGGTGAAACTGGGCATCTTTTCTTGATCTTAGGGGGAAAGCTTCTCATCTCTCACCATTGAGTATGATATTAGCTATGGGTTTTTCATAAATACCCTTTATCATGTTGAGGAATTTTACCTCTATCCCTTGTCTTCTGAGAGTTTTTATTATGAAAGAATGTTGGATTTTGTCAAATGTCTTTACTGAATCAATTGAGATGGTCATGTGACTGCCCCCTTCGTTCTAATAATGTTGAACCACACTTTCATTCCTGGAATAGATCCCCCTTTGATCCTATGAATAATCCTTTTAATATTATATCAGATTCAATTTTTTAATATTTTGTTGAAGATTTTTGCATCTACACTCACAAGACACTGGTTTGTAATTTTCTTGTGATATTCTTATCTGGCTTCGGTATCAGGGAAATTCTGGCCTCACTGAATGAATTAAGAAGTATTTGGTTTAATTATTATTATTATCATTTTTAATTTGAGGAGGACTGGTGTCAATTCTTCTTTAAATATTTGGTAGAATCCACAGAGAAGCAATCTGGTCCAAGACTTTTCTTGCTGGAGGTTTCTGATTACTGATTCAGTCTCATTACCTGCTATAAGTCTACTGAGACTTTCTATCTTTTCTTGAGTCAGTTTAGGTTATTAATACATTTCAGGAATTTGCCCATTTCTTCTAGACTGACATACAATTTTTCATAGTATGCTCTTATAATCCTTTTTATCTCTGTCAAGTCAGTTGCAATGTCCTCACTTATATTTTTGAATTTATCTCTATCTTTTCTTTTTGTCTAGCCAAAGCTGTCTCAATTTTCCTACCTTTTCAAAGAACCAACTCCAGATTTCATTGATTTTCCCTATTGTTTTTCTATCCCTGTCTTGTTCTTGATCTTAGCAGAAAAGCTGTTTTTCACCACTGAGTATGATATTTTAGCAGTGAATTTGTCACATATGGCCTTTATTATGTTAGTGTTTCCTAAACACTCACTTTGTTGAGTTTTTATCATGAACAGATGTTGAATGTTGTCAAATGCTTTTTTCTGCATCTAGTGAGATGATCCTATGATTTTTGTTTTTTGTCTGTTAATGTGGTACATTGTATTTACTGATTTGTGGATATTGAACCATCCTTTCATTCCCGAAATAAATCCCACTTGATTGTGGTTAATGATCCTTTTAATGTATTGTTGAATTCAGTTTGCTAAGATCTTGTTGAGAATTTTTGCAGCTATGTTCATCAGGAATACTGGCCTATAGTTTTTTTTGTAACATCTTTGTCTGGTTTTGTTATAAGGGTAATGCTGGATGCATAAAATGTGCTGAAAGCTCTCTTTCCTATTCTATTTTTTGGAATAGTTTGAGAAGAACAGGTATTAACTCTTCTTTAAATGATTGGCAGAATTCATCTGTGAATTCACCTGGTCCTGCACTTTTGTTTAATGGGAGTTTTTCGGATTACCAATTCAATTTTGTTACTAGTAATTGGTCTGTTCAGATTTTCTTTCTTACTGATTCAATGTGGAAGATTTATGTTTCTAGGAATGTAACCATTTCTTCTAAGTTGTACGATTTGTTGGCATACAATTTTTTATAGTATTCCCTTATAATCCTTTGTATTTTCATGGTGTCAGTCATTACTTCTATTTCATTTCTGGGTTTATTTGCGTCCTCTCTTTTTCTTGATAATTCTGGCCAAAGGTTATCTCTTCAAAGAACCAGCTCTCAGTTCCATTGATCTTTTCTGTTTTGTTGTTGTTTTTTTTGGTCTCTATTTCATCCATTTCCACTCTGATCTTTATTACTTACCTTCTACTAAGCTTGGGCTTTGTTCTTCCTTTTCTAGTTCCTTTAGGTGTTAGGTTACATTGATTTTCCATGTTTCTTGAGGTGGGCCTGTATTGCTATAAATTCCCCTCTTAGAATTGCTTTTGCCACATCCCAAAGACATTGGACCATTATGTTTTCATTTTCATTTGTCTCCATGTATTTTTTTCCTTTTTAATTTTTTTGTTGACCCACTGGTTGTTCAGTAGCCTGTTGTTTAACCTCCACATGTTTGTGTTTTTTTTCCAGTTTTTTTTTCTTATAATTGATATCTAGTTTCATACCATTGTGGTTGGAAAGGATGCTTGACATGATTTTTATTTATTTATTTATTTATTTTTAAAGATTTTATCTATTTATTCATGAGAGACAGAGAGAGAGAGGCAGAAGCAGAGGGAGAAGCAGGCTCCCCATGGAGCAGGGAGCCTGGTGCGGCACTCGATCCCAGGACCCTGGGATCATGACCTGAGCCGAAGGCAGACGCCCAACCGACTGAGCCACTCAGGCA